ACATATAAAATTAATCGTTATAAATCTCCTTCAACCAAAATACCTATCTATCTGCTGATTTAACAAAATACTTCAATCTTTAAAATAAATTAAAATTTAAAATATTAATTTCTTCCAGGTCAACTTGTGATTTTCTTCTTCTTTTTTCTTCTTCTTCTTCTTCTTTCTTCTTCTTTAGTGATAACAACAAAAGACTAACAAACATAACAATTGCATAAATAAAATATTATTCATTCTAAACAGTATAGTTTTATTTATGATGAAACAACTAAATAAGATACTGTTATATTTCCATAGTCATCGCCTTCTTCTTCTTCTTCTTCTTTTTCTCTACTTTTTTCTTCTTCAATTATTAAATGCATTTAACAGATGACAATAAAAAAAAAACAAAATAGGAAAGAAGTCTAGTTCGATTCTAACCTGTTTTATTTATTTCTAATAACGAACTGTCCAGATATATCCATCTGTCTGTCACATTATCTCTATCCTAGCAGTTATCCTAACTACTATTTATTTACCTATATACACATTTCTAGATATCTCTATTTCATTATAGAAAAGTATGTTTATATGTACATCTGTATTGTGTTCAAATTCGCCTGATTTAAAATAGTTGTTATTATTATTATTATTATATTATTATTATTATTTTATTATTATTATTATTATTATTATTATCACTTTTGACAATAAATGAAGTAGATTGAATTACGTATCGACTAACCCTGAGCAGAAATTGTTTAAAAAACTATTTAGCTACTTGTAAATTGTCAGTAGATAAATTAGAAACGTGAATATTTCGTAACAACTACGTACATATGATTGAATGTCATTAAACAACTGGCCATTTTTGTAATTTTTTTCACCCCTTTAAAAATACTTTTTTATCCCATTTTCCAATATTTTTCATCCGTTTCGTCCAATTAAATGGCTAGTTTTAAATCGATATAATTGATTAGTTATGTCTTAAAGTTGTTATAAAATGTCAGTACTTGTTGACAGAGTATATTTTATTCAAATTATGGAGAAGAGTAACGTACCATGTACAAGCTCTGTCTTCTCTCACGTTATCACAGAAACGGAGAACTTATTCTTTAATACATTGTATCTCGTAGCGTTCCAATCATTATGTGGTGAGAGATTCTCATTTACTCATAATTCAATGTCCCCTATAGTGATCATTGTCTTTTCTTAAAGCCTTAGTTATTTAAAAATTTAATTTGTCTAATTTGGAGTTGTCAAAGCCGACTTATACGTTCATGGGCTTACATTATGTCAGAACGAAGATTGAAGGAATGATAACTCACAGAACTAGTGTATGGATTAATATTATATATTCTTATTATATGCTTATTAAGTAACTAGATTACTAGGTCTATGTATTTCATTTATTATAAGCTTTCGGTTAACCCATAAACTACTATCATTACAACTTAATATTCCTAATTTGTTGTCAGTCGATTCCCTATAGTCACCTAAATTCACAACCACTTTGAGCCTGTTCGTGCATATTAGTCATTTTTTATTCTATTGTGTGACGATATATCTGTATATAAATCACGTCCGTTTGAAGTATAGATTTAATAGAGGCTGGTTACTACTTCTGAAATCAATTCAAGGGATAGAGAGGAGCTTCCAGATGGCGGACCAATAGGAAATTAGCTGTCTTTTAAGGGTCAATAGGGAAAGTCGTGCACGTAATTGGTCAGTTTGAGGACATTATACTGTCGAGGAAATAGTAGACGTGAAATAGTTCAAATTTGAATTAGGAATCTGAGTGGTGATTTGGCACGTTCAATGATCTTATGACATAACAACCTACTTCTCTGTTCTAAAATGTTTGATCAAAGTAACGAGAATATATTCACTTAGATTTTTTAACAATCATTTGCCCATATGGAGGAATCTTTGTTCTTTGTTGTACTATATTTAATAGAAAGATCCAAATTGAATTACTCTCAGCATATTTTTTCTCAATTAAAAATGCCGATTGACTATTTCGTTAATATTCCGATTATTATCAATACCCACAAGGATAATACAACGGTCAAAGCCTAACGGTAAATAAAGTGAAAGCATGAGGGGAAGATATTGTAATCAAGTACACTATTCACCAAACCAAAATCATCTCTCGTAAACCTTTGTGTTTGAGTTACATTCCAGGAATGATAACAAGATGATACTGTTATTACTAAGTACAATCTTTAGTGTGATTATGCTAGGGAATATAGCAAGATTTGTCAGTAAACTACAATAATGGATGTAGTGTTATATCTCATGGCCTTGTGCCTGATCAATGTATGACGTAATGATACTACCAATTAGAGAAAAGTGGATTATCGACTGAACCGATGACGCATAAAACCCGTCCGAGCAGTTTACAGCCTTTATTGGTCCTTCTTCCTGTCTAGCCTTGCCTGTTGAGTCCAGAACACAATTCTCAACCTCTACGACATGAATAATGTATTTCAACCATACTGGGCTTATATACAAACGAGCCAGACGACATCGTACCATAAAAGGGAAAAAACATATGTACAAGATTTAGACAGAAGTGGCTGTGAATGTGGGAGACTGTAATTCATAGACTAGGCATAACTCGAGAATGGTAAATCGTATAATAATAGTTCGTACGTCAAAATAATGCTAATGATAAGAGGAACACGAATATGAATAGTTTAGTTATTTAAAAACCATACGATAAAAATACACATATAGTATTAGTCCGTAAATGGATTATGACAGTTGCCATTCATTATTCTCATCGGGATACAACAATCTTCAGTACACATATATGTGTTTAAGGGTTTTTCATAGATTGTTAAGTTTTATAGTTTACAACAAAACCTAATTGCATTTAGATAGTCACTGAAAACCAGAAAGTACCGAACAGCCATTTTCTTCTAGTATGGAACTCATAGCACTGTTCATGCGTGATCTTAAAAAAGGATTGAACCTAAGTTCTTCAGGCCTCATAGAGAATGCTTAATCTTTCAACCACGGGTTTGAACTCTAGGAGCGACCCTAAGTGGAAGCTAAAACTATGTACTATTAATAAAGAGTACAATTCAGAAAAATTAATTTTACAACAGAACTAATGTTTTACGTGAACAACAGTTTCCATAGTATCCCTTACACTAATGATTATCATGTACTTCTTAGTGAGAGGTGATTTCCTGAGTTCTAGTAAAAAAGCTTTGACTAATAAATTTTAACCGTGTTAGATATAAGATATTTACTTAACGAAAACAATATAAGGTGGTTGTACAATATTGTGAATTAACTGGAGTTATTAATGTTAACAACTGATTATTCACTAAGTCGTTTAAAGGCTAAGCGTTTACAGGGAGACCAGAAGATCCTGGTTTCAACCGTCGCTAAGGTTGTATGTGGAGTGAGAAGTTTAACAGAGCAATTTAAATTACGTAACATAATTACTGGAAAATCCTGAGATTTGAATAGGACATCATTAACTATGAGATTACTTTATACTTAAAGGAACAATTATCTTGCTTCAGTGTTCTGTTTTCACTCGCCTATTATTCTTAATAAAGAAAACTATGGAAATAAGTTGGTTAGTTTTTTCTACATTTCTGTCTAATCTGTTCTTTTTACCTTCTTATTCTGACTAAATATATTTATTTCCGATCTTTATTACTTCTTTTTGATTACAAAATCCAAATTCATCTAACACAATAGGAAGGCAATAAGACATGAAGCGATTATGTATAGCTTGACTTTTAAGGGATTTCGAAAATGTTTATAACGATCAACAAGGAACTGGGAATCAATTGATATATCGAAATATTTTGTAACATTAATGATTTATGAATTCAGTTCATGTATTTACTGAACAGACTGAGATGTAGACTGGATGAGCATAGATATATCATATAGCTGTACTCATATACCACCTCAGGATCAAGCTATTAGAGGAGATCTATTATGCATCACTTCATGGTTACAGTCTACAAGTCGTTGTTTGAGTTTGAAAGATAACGGTAAATATACTTGTGATTTTTGTAACGTCATAATTCAATTTGACAATTGAACTTTCCTATTACTCACTTTAGTTTTCTCATTTATATAGCCTACCATGCGAAGTGTATGTCGTAACTGGACGATACAGTGGAACACAACTTTTTATAATCAGAAGGGGTTTTGTGGATATTATGGTAATTTCATAGTTGAATTCATGAGTCCACTAAGGCTAAACCACCTTAGAAAATCTGGAAGCACTGGATGGCCGTTTCGTCCTAGTCTGGGACTCCTCAGAAGCGCATCTACGATCACACACACGGGATTCGAACCCAGGACTTATTGGTCTCGCGTGCGAACGCTTAACCTCTGGACCATTGAGTTGGCATGCAATGGTGTTAATGTCTAACTTCAACCAATCTATGATATTGTGCCACCGTCTATCACTGTCTTCAGTGAGTTACTTCCTGACAACAGACCCATTTGAACTCCACTGGTCACCGCTTCTCACTAGGACTCCAGGAAATGACTCTTGAAGCCAATCACTAGTGAGTACATGATGATTATTTTCAGGAAGGGGGTTTTATGTAGATCGCAATAATTTAATAGTTAAATTCATGAGTCAGTTAAAGTCCATCCAGTAATTCTAGTTTTTCACTGCTGATCTAGCTTTAATCAACTCATGAATTCAACTATTAAAATTTATAAAACCCCCTTTCCTGATAATAAAATCTTTTTCAAAAAAAGAAAAACAAAAGAAATTTACTTCTCACAATTCTTCCCCCCTCCTTTTCAAATAAAAAAAAATTAAATCAATATATCAAACTTCAAACTAATTTTTAAAAATATTAAATATTAGATTTTATGTTGTTTTTTTTCATTAAAAAAACTTTTTTTGTTGCTAGGGAAAAAGTAAAACTAACTAAAAAGAGAGAAAAATGAGGGGGGGGGGCGAGAAAACCTATTTCAGTTATTGTTCACACTATTATTATTATTATTACTATTATTATTATTAATATCAATTAACATTGTTGTATTGTATGATTTGCTATTGGTTTTGATTGTATATTAATTTGAATTGGACGAAATTCACGTATTACAGGAACAATTACATCTTGTGAATATGTAGCCCATGAACTAATGATTGGATAAATAAACCTTTCCCAATGTGCACTACATATATAATTGATATCACAAAAACAATTAATAATAATATGTAATAAAAAACGTAAATATTGTAAAAATGGTTTAAATAAAGTTAATGTGATCATACGTAATAATTCAATACAAAATAAACATATTGTTGAAAATACAATCCCTATAGCTAAACATGCTTCACGTAGACCACGATGTATTTTTTGATGAGCTCTAAAAAATAAGAGAGAAATAAATAGAAAGAAGGATTGATGGATGAATCGGGTATTATTATTATTATTATTATAAAAAAAAGAGTATTGTAAAGTATATTATGTTATAACACTCGGGTTTCATCATTTACATAAATGGGACGCTAAGTTGCCTTAGACAAATATCTACATTAGATTCTCTTCCGGTGTCTATTCTACAGGACTTCAATACAAGAACACGTGATTAGCCTGACTAGAACTTAAATATATTTCTACACCACAACCCGACAACAATCACAATATAAATAGGATAGAAGAATATATAACTCATCTTGTCACCTATTAGATTATCTACTATTTACAATTGATTGGTCACTGGGTGGTGATCAATGTCATGTATGTCAAGTCCTTCTTAGTTCAGATCGAATGCTATCGACCAAGTTGCACTGTGGTCACTAGTCTAGGTGACTCGATATTGCGTGCACTATGCTAAGACAAGATGGTGGTTGGAGGTAGTCAACAGGAAACCCTGGACCCGGATTTCATGCTAATTGGCAGTCGTCAGTAAGGTGTACCTGCAATCTTGAGGGAACTGGTGCTCCCTGACGAGTGCCATGTAGCACGAAACCCGGGTCCAGGGTTTCCTGTTGACTACCTCCAACCACCATCTTAGACTATCTACTAGTCTGACTAAACAAACAACCAATCATTATCATTCTAGTTCACACACCACAGTAAATAAGAGTAAGGTATTGGGTTTAAATATGTATGTGAACATTCATAGTAAGCGTTATATCCTATTGAACACTTAATTACGGGTAACTTTTGAGAACTATTAATGGGATAATATTATCTATGTATTCTTATGGTATAACTATTCAGTATTTAGATTGTATAAATCTATATTCCTCTCATTATAAGTTTCATTTTGATCTATAGATTATTATTATGCGATTTACTGTTTTTAAGTTATGTTCAGTTTATTGATTACAATCTCCCACGTTCCTAGCCACTTTTTGGCTTGATCATGTGATATTACCCGTGTGCCCAGACCGAAGCAGGTGGTTTTCTTAGGGGGCTACAACCCGAGCCTTTGACCAGAAGGTCTGATCCACAAAGCAATAGAGAAATGTCAGCAGATGCAGTCGCATGGTAGCCAGTGACCAATGATTGGTTCATACGCCATTTGTTCCCTCAGGATCCTGGAGCCGGCCCATGTACAACACTGGATTGAAATCAGGGTTCTCCAACTCCTCTAGGTGGATCCTCCATATTCACCAACTCGGTTAAAGCACCGAACATTCCCTTTTCGTCCTCTTAATTTCGTAAACAACAGTAATGACTCGAGAAGGCAGTGAGTAGGACTTCCCTGTCAGTGGCTGTATATGCGTGGCCATGTGAGAGTATTTCGACGGAAAGAGCTAGTTCTCCCCACTCTTAGCCGTACCAGGGCATTTGGGGGCATGTTAAATTATAACTTCAATTATATTTTATTTATCTTTAGTTAACTGCATGTATTGGATTTACACTAGACAAACATCACATATACTCATTATGAACTTACTTTTCAGATATTTGTTCCATTTTTGCTTCCGGTATGGGCAGGTATTGAATCTGTCCAAACGTATCACAAGAAAAGAATAAACAAAACTCAGTAACATTTATGCTGCTTTACAAAATTAATAATAAACAGCATACTGTAAAAAAATGACGAGGATTAAATTTTATTGACAAACAAATGGAATTCGAAATGAAAGTGGAACATCCTGGGCTTAAATGAGAGTAGAGATATATTTATATGAGAAATTTAAGAGTTAACTGCAAGTGACGATGTTGAATATTAGTTAAGCTTTGTAATTTCTCTTTGTTAGTGTTGAGGATCTCATTTGTTCATTCTCAAATGTTATATGTTCATCCTGAGTGAGACTTCTCCATAAGCTTTACATCATACGTTATATTATATATGTTGTGTGAATAATAATAGAATTCAGGACGTATGTCTAATCCTATATAAGATTTGTCATCTGGATATATCTGCATCATAGTGTCAATGCTTACACTGGAACTCAAACCAAGTGACATTTGATCCAAACTTGAACATGTTACCCACTGAAGTGTTATACTGGACAGCTATTATACCTGTTATTGGTTGTCCTAACTATGCTGAAGAGATTGATTGAAAGAATGAGATCTAAGATAGCGCCTACAGGATTTTTGAGTGAAATTCAATGCGCAGTGAACTATATCATGTATCTCATTGAAAATTAAGTAAAAATTGTCTGTACATACTTCCTAAACTATTTAAAATTACTAAAAATATATTTTAGTCACTCATACAGTGAGTATGACGTAGTGTGAAAGCTAATTTACAAGAAACACCTAGTCTTGATCTAGACTGAATCTGAATATAATTGATCTGGTTCAGAGCACTGTCAAGAGTATTTTGTGGATAAAAATTAACCTCTTATTGCAACATTATCTACATTCAGGACGAAACGCGCGTCCTGGATTCCACTGCTAGCGACTATAATGCTCATAATGCTTGTGAATTAAGGCAATATCGAGGCAATACGCACAGTATGCACATATGCCAATAAGAGATTGATCAACTTCAATCCTAAACATCGATGGGAAAATTCAAGTAAACAATGGCAAGTGAATTCATATTACATTAGCTTAACATGTTGTTGTCAGCAATTAGCTATTAAACCATTTTACTCTGTTCATTTATTAGCAAATATGTTACACCATGAAGTGTATTATTAAAACTATTTTCCTAATCAACAGCTGTCACAAACGTATATATATATATATATATATATAAGTATATTATATATATATATATATTATATATATATATATATATATATATATTAACCTACTTGTGAAGTATTGACAAAACAATTCCAACTGGTGTGTATATAATTCCTGTCTAAATGACCCTCTTTATATTGACATTCCATATCCATATTTTCAGATGTTATATGTGCTCGACAATATGTTGGTGGTTCATATGGAATATGAGTATTGTCAACTTTTAATTGCATAGAAACAGTAAGAAAGTAGGAAATTAATACAGAAATTAGTCGTGAAATTTGATGGTCATGTGAAAATTCGTAAATGTTCTACCTACTTAATTAACTTATAAGTAGCTAAAATTTCAATAAATATTTTTCACTGCGCCCCTAGAAAACAACATTTTGTCAGCATTAATAAATGATGAAAAAAAGCGAACAGCAGAAAATGATCTTTAGTTAGAACATTTAAAAGATCCTTTGCCAAAATGATCTTTAATATAGTTACAATTTCAAACGACCAACTGTCTGTGAAAAATCTCTCCTTACCCAAGTTCTGCTCACGGAAAATGAGATCTCTGGAAGACTCGACTGAAGAATTAAGTTGGCATTGAAAATAAGCTCCTCTATTGCTCAATCAGTTTCCCTACACAACGTCAAGTGTTCGATTTTACTTCCTTATCTTGATTATGATTACTATTAGCTATAACACCTATCCTATTATACGTTACTATTTCCCAACATAGATATAAACATCGATTTTAACTATGTTTATTAATACTCTTTGTGCTTCTATTCTTTTTATTATAATGAGTATGGTTAACTTTCGAACATTCACTGAAAACCCAGAAACACTGGATGGCCATTTCGTTCTATTAAATTCATAACTGATAGAATAAGCTGTTAGTGTCACTTATGATGAAATTATTAAAGCTGATTTCTACCTAAAATTTATAGTGATAATTTTCTTATAAACATAATGAGAGTTTCATGACCAGGCTACTTATCTCATAGAACGTAATTTATTTTTTTCTAATAAAAATTTATCTTTTCATAATGTGTAATACATCTGATGTTTGATCTTAAGATGGTTTATAATGGAAGTCAAGAAGGAAAAGCAGTTTTGAAGATGGGTTTCATGGTGAAATAATCTTGTAAAAAACCGCTAAAACTAGGAAGCTTTAGATAACTGTATTTTTCTTATTTGTGACTCATTATTCATGTTCAATTATAACAATACAGATACGGAATCGGACTACTCACAGGAGAATCACGTTAATATGAGGTTATTTAGTAGGAATCATTTGCTTCACAAATGTCAGTTTAGTCACTTATATGGTCAGCAGTAAGATACTGGAATTATATTTTTAGTTATCCTGAACTCGTCAGCAACGTGTATCTGCAACATTAAGGGAATAGATATCATCTATAGTATCCAGAGCCGGTTTGTCTTCCTTTAGAATACAAGGAACTATCATTAAGCTTATCATAACATGACTGAACTCGTGAGTAGTAATCAAATTTTAAGTTAGCCTAGTTCATAGTACTAACCGAAATCTGGTGTCAAAATTACAGATTTTTTTGTAAAATCTGAGAACCATATAGTAAATTCTTCATTTGCAAAGTGTCAGTCAACTGTCTCAAGCTTGACTGTTTCTTCTGCAAAATGTCAATCAATCGTCTCAGATTTCAATGTTCTTTCGTTTCCACATCAATTATTCTCTGTTCTCGTTCTTTTTCCTTCAATCTTCTTAACCTTCTGCCACCAGGCATTTCACTTTCGATTGACGATACATACTATTTATATCTGTTGACGTCAGTAACACACACCATAAAACTAGTTTCCAGATCACAGCCTGATTGATAACAATCTGTTTAGCACATACTAGTCACTATTCAGTAATCAATCAGTATTAATGGACCAAGTTAATATATCCTAAAGTACCTTGAAGTACACTAATAATAAGCCATCAATGTTTGAATATTTAATTCAAAATGATACCTCTTCACATAAAACAGATTACCTCGTCTGTTATTGTCATTTGTAAATGGAATTCCAGAAGTATTCTTATTTTCATTTACTTTATACAAAGAACTACGAGCAGCATGTTTTGGAACATTCTGTTTCTCATCGTAAGACATAGCTGGATTCATATGAGACCATTCATTATTTTCATCAGAAGGTGAGTTCAATGTTTCAACAACTTTGGCTCGATCTATCAAAGAGAACAAAATACATTTGAAAGATTTAAATTTGCCGCCAGTGATTCAGTTGAAGACTTACATTTTTTGAGGTGAATTGATTAGTTTTCCAATATGACCAGTATGTATGTTTAATAATAGTTTGGATCACGGACTAATACATCAGGTTGAAAACGACTGGTGAGAAGCATGAAACAGTTATCCATCACAGGTAATGGGGATGGTAGCATAATATTGTGAATTGATTGCAGTTCGACATCGGCACCACTGGATTCCGGCTCAGTGATTCAGTGGTTAAGAGCTCACGTGCAAGATCGGAGGTCTTAAGCTCGATCTTCTGTAGTTAGGTTGTGGATGGGTACTGTCGAAATGTCCTATACCAGAATGAAACGGTTATCCAGTGTTTCCAAGTTTTCAATGACGGTCTTACTCAGATTAGATTGTGATTTACACTATGCAAATTCTACAATCTCCAAAAATCCGCCTATGCAAAATATATGATCTTAACAACAACTATGAAACTAATATCAATCAAGTGGTATTGTTATTTATGTAACAACAAAGTATTTGTTGATAAGTTAATTTTAAAATAGTTACATAAGAATTCAGAGACCATTATTCAAATTGTATAGAAACACAAAGATAAAATCTAAGAAAGTTTTTGGCAGATTTTTTGGAAAATTGGTTTTATAAAAATTATGGGAATCGAAATTCCTTTTAATCCATTCTGGTGTGTCTAGGGACAAGTTAGAGAGAGCAACTGGACGGACTTGTTTTGAGTTACAAGTTTAGATATATGAGCATGGATTCCGGTAACTTCAAAACTACTCGAAAGAAATGTTAATCCTACGGAAAATTCGATAGAATACACTGAATAACTTGAATACCTTTGTTCAATTCAACTTCACTCCTTGAGTAAATCAAGTAAATGAGGATAGAATACTTAATCAACTTTAACTTTTCTTTATTCAGACAAGCCAGATGGTGTAAGTCAGTACGATGGCATGCTTCATGAATCGTATGACTTTTCTAACTGGATCCATAGGATAAATTGAATAGATAAACATATATGAAGTTCTGCGCGCAAAACCGAAGGTCATGGGTTCGATTCACGAGTACGAGGTCGTTAATCAACACTGCCAAGGAATTTCATACTAAGATAAAACGACCATCCAATGCTTCTAGGTTTTCAATTGGGGTCTAACTTAAACCTGTTCAGGAGTTCAACGAAAAACTATCATAATTTGTTTCCCTTCAACGAATGTATTGAACTGGTGGAAATTAGCACAATTCCTAAAAATGTGTTATATAAGAACTGAGAATGGTTACATTCAAGAACAGAGCACGAAAACAATAAACTATGTAGTTTTCACACTGATAATTGACATGGAAAATTTTTATTATTCTACGAATATGGCGAAATTTGGTATGAAAATATTTAACTTAGGGTCAATAATACTTAGTGGCCATAATTTTAGTGAACAGAAAACTTAATTTAAAGACTCATCTTTGAACGTTTTTAATTATCATAGTTTAAAGCAAGAACTGATTTTAACTAGGCCACCAATAAAGACCTGTAAGCACTGAAATACCGTTCCATCCTAGTATTAGGCTCTTTGAAATTGCTTTCCCCCAGAATACAGCCCAGAAACTCCCTTCTCACACATGAACTCTTAAACTCTAGGCCACTGTATATCAAAAGAAATACAGTTTGATGGTTTTAGAGTCATTTAAAATGTTCTTACGAATTTTTCATCTAGGGCATCGTTAGGTTAATCCCCGTTGGATTCTAGTTTTAGACAGAAAGGTGTCTTTCAACTTACATATATCTCCAAGTTCTTATTCCCTATATACACATGCTTTTTAAAAAGCTTAGGGTTAATACTTTTGATTGGTTTGTTTGGTAAAACTATGCTAAATCAGGGACCATGGACGAGATTAGCAACTGTTCAAATATCATTTATTAGCCAATAATCTTTCATGACAAATGTTAACGAAATTTATGTGTATACAGAGAGTTCCATGTAGTTTACAAATTTATTTACAGTTTTTAGTGTGTTTTTAATCGCGATATCAAAGAAATTTTATGACAGAAACTCATTAATGTGAATGGCAAAAAGATTTCGGTTTAATTATCTGAAACGTTACATTGAGCTATCTTGTCCACGACGGATCTCCTGAAGGATTTAAATGTTTACGTTAATTTATCACTCAGTATTGATCAATGCTATAGTTGTCGAATTCTTAGTTCTGGCTGAATCCTTTCTACCAAACTTCTCACACTGTGAAGCTGTGTGACAAAAGTTCAAATTTCACAGGTAGCATCGCTTCTTCTAAGACTGGAGACATAACCATTAACGAGTGCCAGTAGGCATCAAACCTATGTTCAGAGTTTCCTGCCGACTGCTTCCAACCAATTAAAATCTTAACATAGTGCACACGATGTTGAATCACTTGTACTAGTGGTCATACTGCAACCTGATCGATGCAGTTTGAATAATACTAAGAGGGACTTGACATATATGACATTGGTAACGACTCAAGGGCCAATCAGTCCGAATCACGTGATCTGTTTAAGTATTTACTGTGAACAAACGGAGGAACCAATTATGAATATAATTTGCATCAAAACGAGTAATCATATATTTTGAGTTCTATGCACTGTCATTTCCATTCTATGATAGCACAACAGATTCTTGCCAACTCTAGGCCCCTACAAAGTTGCATATATGATGTACATCTTTATACAAGTGATTTGCCACATACTCAGCTTTAAGGCGGTAATTACTCTACAGAAGAGTTAAACATAGTAGGTAGAACAGGGTTCAAAACTTGAGCATTCAGTTAGTTGTAAGTCGTTTGAATAAAACATTAAGTCATAACTTCATTTACTAAGTTCATGATAGTTAGAATCGTTTTATTTTTAATTCTATGCAAAACCTCAAGTATTACTACCTTAATCTTGACTAATTCAACTGTATCGTATCATTTCTTTATTTATTCTCACTCTAACTCATACAGATAATCAATCCCAATAATTCAATAAATGAATGTGTTTTTCTTTACAACATCAAAGTCTAAATCCATTGACACAACTTTTCAAGATGACTTTATCTACTGATTAAGTTATTATATAAGAACTTTCGTCTAAATCCGAATGAATAGTTCCATAGTATTTCGACACCAATTTAAAGTGAAAGAATCAATTCGTAAAATCTGAGCGATTGAATTTTAAATAAGGCGGTGGTTGGAGGTAGTCAACAGGAAACCCTGAACCTGGGTTTCGTGCTACATGGCACTCGTCAGTAAGGTGTACCTGTAATCTTGAAAGAACTGGTGCTCCCTGACGGATCCGATCCTGTGTCACCCAGCTTCACAGTTAGAGACGTTACCACTGGGCTGTCCGCGCCGCGACCGATTCCTGTAGGACTGAGTTGTAATCACAATTGATTGATCACTGGGTGGCGATCAATATCATGTGTTCAAGTCCTCTTAGTTTAGACCGAATGCTATCGACCAAGTTGAGGGAGCACCAGTTCCCTCAAGATTACACGTACACCTTACTGACGACTGCCAATTAGCATGAAATCCGGGTCCAGGGTTTCCTGTGACTACCTCCAACCACCATCTTGTTCTAGCATAGTGCACGCAATATCGAGTCACCTAGACTAGTGACCACAGTGCAACTTGGTCGATAGCATTCGATCTGAACTAAGTAGGACTTGACATACATGACATTGATCACCACCCAGTGATCAATCAATTGTAAATTTTAAATAAATCTGACGTTTCGCTCAGTAATCTAGTCCAAGCATTTTCAAGAAAATATGATCAAACATAATTAGTTATATAATTCTTCGACCAACTGTCTACTAAATAGGTCATCCAATCATGTTAATAATGTTTAAAGTAAGTATTTGCTCTAATGCGTATGAGATGTATGGTGTATAACGAAAAGTGTGTTAAGATCACAGATAATGTGTATTCGTAAATAAATCTGAGGTGTGAGAAGATTTTTTCTTTTTATTTGTGAAATTAAACAGAGAATTTGCCTTAGTAACTTTATAACCATTATTAATTACAGGTTAATCATAATTGTGTTTAATGGGAAATTTTTTGTATTTTCGGTGGGACCGTAATTCATGAACTACTTTTAAGAGACGCTAAAGTGACCTTGAGAATATCCACCTACTAACCAGGATAAACGAGGGTTACAAACCAGTATGAGGAATTAGAATTATGATTACAGTTGACGATTAGGGTTAGAAATTAGATTTAGGGTTTTCATCATGAACTGACATCAGTCAAAATGCCGAATATTATTTATCCAAATGGATGAGGGAATTTCGCGCCAAAATCCGAGACCTGTATCTTATATCTGATTGGTTCGTTCATACATTATAATCTCTCCGTGTTTCATAGGGTTGAGTGCATGTGCATGTCTATGCATTATCATGTGTTAGTGTCTGTTTACATATCTATGTCAGTCTATCACACTATGAACATGTAATGTGCAAATATATGTGTATACATGAAAATCAATAATACCGCGAACTAATTCTCAGCTGTTTATTCAATCATAAGAATTCATTTTGCAAAAGAAAAATTCCAACAAAAGAAAACACACTGAATTTTTAATCTTTTTAAGTCTTTTTGTTTCACATCAGTGATCGTTTTAATTGCATATTGCTACTTTATTTAAATATAACCCATGAAGGAAGTACAAGTTAATGTATACGATTTCAGCTATATCACAAGTGTGAAGTGTTATTTACACTACCATGATAAAGTTGATGTTGAAAGCCATATGTATTTAAAGGTTAGTTAATTCCTTTGAATCCTGTTTCGGATACTTAAGTTTAATCAGTAGTGTTAAAGTCCTCTCCGACTATAAGGGTGCTTTGACGTGGCGTCTGGGCTTGCATAGCATGATGATCTAATCAAAATATATTGGTTGGAACACTTGTTCCTTTGAGTCTTACCAAATCAACAGGTAAGTTGGAGAACAATAAAA